TCGAATATGCCCATATCCTTCACAACCATGGCATTGAATTCCTCTGCCTTGATTTCCCTTCTCTTCAGACCTTGGTCTTCTGCTGGAGTCATAAGATCTGTTAATGTCAGAGGGGATGTTCTCAACATTTGAACTTGACTTTGGATCCATTCTCTTGATGAGTTTGTTGAATTGTCTTCCAAGCATGGCTATAGCTTCTGAAATATTTTCTTCTTCATCCTCCTTGTTTTCATCTTCAGTGTTGGATACAAGTGCTATGCTCTTGTTTTTCTTGTCAACATTGTCACTGATCCCCATCTCAAAAGTCTGAAGAGACCCAATGAGTTCATCCACCTTTAGCTTGTTGATGTCCTGGGCTTCCTCTATAGCAGTTACCTTCATTGCAAATCTTTTAGGCAGGGATCTGAGAATCTTTCTCACCAGTTTTTCTTCAGACATCTTTTCACCCAATGCTCCTGAGGTGTTGGCAATCTCCAAGATGTTCATGTGAAACTCATGAATGGTTTCATCTTCCTTCATCCTTAGGTTCTCAAACTTGGTAGTCAGCATCTGAAGCCTTGACATTTTTACTTTGGATGTGCCCTCATGGGTAGTTTTGAGAGTGTCCCACACTTCCTTGGCCAGTTCACATTGATGTACTAGTCTGAATATGTTTCTATTAATTCCATTGAACAAGGCATTTAAAGCTTTGGAATCACCCAGGGCTAACTCATCTTCTTCTTTGCTCCATTCTTCCTCAGGCTTCAGACTGATTGTCCCATCTTTCTCAGTTATGGTGGGATGGTTCCATCCTTTGTCAGCAGCTCTCCAAGCCTTTTTGTCCAGTGATTTTAAGATGGCAATCATACGAGGTTTCCAGTAGTCATAATTTATTCCATCCAGAATGGGTGGTCTGTTTCCAAAAACTCTTTCTTTGTCCATAGTGCCAGAAAGTGATATCCCTAGATCTCACCCAGTAATACAGGCAGGGTGCCTGCTCTGATACCAATTGAAATTCTGGCAGCAGATACTCAATGTCACAGTGAATGTTATGACACCGTATCTGACTTTCTATAAGACAGTAAATAAAAATAGTAAAGAACACAGTCAATTGTTTACCCAGTTCAGTGTGAAACAACACCTACTCTGGGGGCTACCAAGCCAGGGAGGAAATCCACTATAAGAGATATTAATTCAGGAATAAACCAACCAGTTTATCTCCTTCACTTAAGACCTACCCAATGCAACTTCAATCTAAGTTCAACTTAAACCTGAGTTCCTACTCACTCCCCCTCAATAACAACAGTGATACTTAAAACAATTGACTAATGAAATAATGAAGACACTCTTCAGAACATACACTTGATTATGCTTCACAGCTTTTTAATCAAGTAACACAAACACTCGTGCTTCACAACTTTGAGTGATACATAAAACTAACTTGACTTTGCTTCAAAGCTTTAGTCAAGAGACACAAACACTCTTGCTTCAAAGCTTTGAGTGATACAAAAACCCTTACAATCAAAACTTATTCCAAGTTACTTATCACAATAATACTTGCTTGGATTACAGCAGTTAAAACTATACAGCTCCTAATTGATCTTCAGTCAAAGAGTTACTCTGCAACCAGCATTCCTGTTGAATATATATGCAGCTGTTTCTTCAGTTAGGGTTTCCACAAAAAGTTAGGGTTAATTAGGTTTAACCTTAAGACTTGGTTACAAGACTTTATCAACCAGATTAGGGTTGAGCTAGGTTAACCTAAAGTCCACGTGAGATTCTGTTCTGGAAAGAATGAACCAACTTCCTGAAAAATCTCAGAATTAACCAAACTGCATATCTGTTAGATCAGTACAGGATGTCTTAACATTTGTTATGACATCAGAATTCCTGTTTACTGATTTTGGTATAAGGCAACAAATGTGATCATTGCAAAATGCTCAGATACACACTCATAAACAGTAGCTACTGTATGCCATACTTTTTCTGCATAAAGTACCTAATAAACCAGAATGTTATGACATCAGTCATGACATTTACACACCTGGTTTTACCAAAAATACATGCCAATAACTAAACACTTACAGTATATGTCTATAAAAACTTAAATCCCTAACACAGAGTAAAAATTCAAGACAAAAATCCACAATGATTCGTAAAGCAAGTTTTATATAACGCCAAGGGCGACAAATATACATGAGTTCAAAGAAAATATACATACAAACTCAACCAATAGAGAATACACAAAGAAGAAGAGAAACGAATCACAGATCTACCAGTTTGTCAGTGTCAATCGAAGAGCAATCCACCTCAGATCATTCGTATACAAGCTCCATAGTTGTTATCTAGGCTAATCCTAACAAAATTTACAAGTTGATGGAGTTGGGAGCAAAAACTTCCCCAAAACCATAACCTAAAAATGACTGAGAATGAAGTTATAAAACAAATCTCAGCAGACCATGCTAAGCGGCCTCAGCGCACTAAGCGGGTTGCACGATATTTACATACTAAACCGACCTAAACTGTGCTAAGCACGTTATACGCACTAAGCGGGATTTAAAACTTGGGTTCTGCCAAAATAGTAGAATGCAAGCAGCACGCTACAAAATGTGTTGAGCGTCACTCGCGTTTAGCGACCTCTACGCGCTAAGCGGGCTCTCCTGCATAAAATGTCCTAAAACTGATCTTTTATTCCAAAAACATGCATCCGGAGTCGTACCTTCAACACCTTATTCCTCAATTCTCCAAAATACAACAAATACCTACAAAATGAATGGAAAAACATCAAACAATACGCTATGTACACAAAAACACAAATAAACACAAACTAGACGTATTTACACAAAAGTCGAGGTTATCAATGATATTAACAACTAAAAGTAGATAAGTGCAACAAAAAGTATATACAAAAATAGATACAATTTGCACTTATCAGTTATTTCCATTATCCTGGATGCTACTGTAGAAGAGCCTATTCGTAAACGTAAACATGTTTTTAGGTTTGAGGAAGCATGATTGAAGGACCCAAAATGTGAAGGATTGATTGATAATTTCTTGAATGGGACAAGCATTCAGGGTCTGAATCGCATCGAAGCCATGAAAGCTCTTGAGAACCACTTTAAAGAGTTTAGAATCGAAAATGCGTCGAAGGAGTTGGTCAGAATGGAAAATCTGCTTAAAGAGGAGAAAAGATGGAATGGAAACGAGGAGGAAATAAACACGTTTAAGGCCATCGAGAAACAACGAAATGAGTTGTTGAAAGTATAGGAAATTATATCGTGCCAAAACAGTAGATCGGTGTGGTTGTAGCATGGGGACCTCAATACCAATTTCTTCCATGGAAAGGCGAAGTAAAGAAGGAAAACAAATACCATCAACAAGCTCAAATGCAAAAGTGGTAAGTGGTAGAAAGGCCATAGCAATTGCGAAAAACTTCTTGTAAAGTACTTTCGTGAGTTATTCTCCCCCTCTAATCCCCAACAAATAGAACAATATTATGATGTTGTCCAGAATAGGTTGTCTCAAGATCATAAGAACTGGTGCGAAGAGGTTTTTTCAACAGTGGAGGTCAAGGAGGCTTTGCTTCAGATGCACCATTTAAAGGCCTCATGTACTGAAGGTCTACCAGCTTTTTTCTATCATAAGTTTTGGCACATCGTGTGTGAGGACGTGGCGAGGATAATGTTGGATGTCCTCAATAACAAAAGAGATCCCAGGTCTATGAACTCTACTTTTATCGCTTTGATCCCGAAGTGTAAGAACCCATCTTCTCCAAAGGATCTTCGTCCCATTAGCTTATCTAATGTTATCATGAAAGTGGTGATGAAAACAATAGCGAACAGGTTGAAAAGGTTTTTACCTGAAGTGATTGATGAGGAACAAAGTGCTTTTGTTCATGGAAGATTGATAACAGGCAATGCTCTCATAGCTCTGGAATGCTTCCATTGGCTTAAAAAGAAAAAAAACATTGGAAGAGGGGTGTAATGGCGCTAAAGTTGGATATGTCGAAGGCATATGATCGGTTGGAGTGGGATTTTATTACAATGATGCTTAGTTCAATGGGATTCCCTAGTCACTTGGTACGTCTCATTCACAGATGAATTTCCATTGTTTCTTACCAGATTCTCATTAACGGCCAACCCAGCAAGAGCTTATATCCGAAGAGGGGCCTCCGTCAAGGAGACCCTCTCTCACCTTATTTATTCATTCTCTATGCTAATGTTTTTTCAGGTATGATAAATAAGGAGGTATAGAGCGGAAGCATTCACAGCATCAAGGTTGCAAGACACGCTCCAACCATTTCCCATTTGTTCTTCACTGATGATTGTCTCCTATTCACAAGAGAAAATGTTCAAGAAGCTAGAAAGGTTCAAGCTATCATGCATAATTATCACATGGCCACAGGACAAGTGGTCAATTGGGAAAAATTGGAAGCCTCCTTCAGCCACAATGTTGAAGATCATGTGAAAGACGCTATACGAGAGGAATTGCAAGTTTTGACAGTTGAGAATCACCTGAAATACCTTGGTCATTCTGTCATTTTTGGCAGATCAAAGAGAGATGTTTTCTAAGTGTTTAAAGAAAGAGTGTAGAAGAAGTTAAAGGGCTAGAAGGAAAATTTCTTGTCTCAGGCAAAAAAAGAGGTTCTTATCAAACCAGTAGCTCAAGCCATTTCGAGTTTACAAACTTCCAGAGAGTTGCTTCCAAGATGTTGAGGCCATGATTGCAAACTGCTGGCGGGGATCTAAGGATGGGAAGAGGAAGATTCACTGGCTAAAATGGGAGAAGTTAGCAAGTTCTAAGAAGGAATGTGGTATGCGTTTATATGGAATTAGTAACTTCAACCAAAGCTTGTTGGGTAAACATTATTGGAGACTTTTGCAGGATTAAGAGTCTCTCCTTGCTATGGTTTTGAAAGGAAGATACTACCCTCAGAGCTCAATTTTTGTGGCCTTTACAGGTTATAATACGAGCTACGTGTGGATGAGTATACTAGGGGAAGAGAAGTGGTGGAAAAGGGGATGATTTGGAGAATCGGCAATGGTGAAAAGGTGCGGATTTGGGGTGATAACTTGCTGCCAGAGATTTTAGGTTTCAAGCTCCATAATATTGCTGACTCTGCTAATTTAGAAGATAGAGTTTGTGAATTAGTTGACAGAGATACGAGATGCTGGAACAGTGGTTTGGTTCAGAGGAATCTCATCCCTTTGGAGGCGGCTCATGTTCTTAATCTTCCCATTTCGATGAGACTTCTGGAGGATGAGAAAATCCAATTTTTTGAGAAGGGTGGAAATCTCTGTCAAGACAGCATATCATATGCTCCAAAAAAGTGACTCCTCCAAGAATCCTGGACCTTTGGCTACTCTAAATCAAAAGCTCTGGAAGTCCATATGGCACCTTAATGTTCCTCGAAGGGTCCGTAGTTTCCTTTGGCGGCTGGATAAAACATCTTGCCCACAAAAACTAATCTTCAAGCAAAAGGTGTTCTTCTCGATATGACTTGTTCGCTTTGCAACTCAGCTTCTGAATCAAGAGATCACCTCTTTATGCAATGTGAGTTCACTAAAGCTTGTTTCTTCTCGTCTCCCTTGGGCTTTCGAATTCTTGCTGATATGGAGTTGCTAGAGTGGCTTTCTAGTGTTTTTTGTTCTCCCAACAAGGATTGTGCTCGAATCATTGACACTACCTTGAGGAAAATCTAGACATCTAGAAACAATGTGTTGTATAATTATAAAATGGCAAAACCGGAAGCCATTGCGGATGAAGCTTGGCAAAGTGTGGAGGAATTTTCAAATGCGAAGCATCTGAGTAGTAAAGAGGATGTTTCATGTCAAAACCCTTTTCTTGAGCAGGTTTCGAAAGATGTCTGTGTTGTGAAAGTGGATGCGGGTTGCATTGATTTGGGAGGTATTACCTTTGGTTGTATTGCTAAGGATAAATCTAATAAAGTCTTGGTGGTGGCCTGTAAATTAGAGATGATTAGTGCTGAGCAAGAGGTAATGGAGCTGCTTTCCATTCGCTGGTGTTTGATCCTTCTACAAGAATTGAGCTTCGAGAAAATTCTTATCCAGTCGGTTTCTTCCATAATTATTGATTGCATAAACTCTATCTTGTCCAGAGCTAGCGTGAAGCACTTAGTTGTAGATGTTAGAACTCTTTTAGCTAGCTTTAAGGTTGCACCAATTATGTTTCTGAATAGGAATTTCAGTGAGGAAGCTCATAATCTAGCTTGTTTAGTCAAGACCAGAGGATACAATACCTAGTTTGGTGCTTGTCCTCCTGAGGACAGCGTTTGTACTCCTTCTATTGCCCTTGAGGCCTAAAGAAATTGTCTTTCCGTAAAAAAAATGCTTTCTAGAAGAAACATTGTTAAAATATGTATTATAACAACATTTTTACGTTTAAAAAAATGTTGTCTATACTTATAATAGTGCTAAAATAGACTACGCTTAAGAGTGTTGGTAAAAGCCTCAAAAGTGTTGTCTAAGATTTTTTTTGGTATATCGATAACTTTAACCTTTTTAATCTTCATCTCATTAATTATACCCTACCCTCTCAAGGAACAATCAACTCAAAAGTTGAAATATAAAAGGTGTGTTTACAAGATACTTTTAAGAAAGTAGATTACACAAGTTAAAATACAAAGATGAAGACAAAAGTGTTTCTAGCAAGTATATGAACAAAAGTTCCTTACTTTACAGCTCTTTACAAAATAATTAAATATTTACGTTTGAGAGTTCACGTAAAAAGTTCTTTAGAACCGTTGTTTAGAACCATTCTAGAATTTGACAATGTCTTTGTAATACGTACTTTGTATCTCTTCAAAATCATATTATGTTGATTTCATAAACTGATAACGTCGCACGTCATTCTTTGAGACTCAAAATCTGCTAGCAAAAGTTACACACTAGCACTACTACAAATAATGCTTGTAATGTCGGATGTGAAATGCGTTTTATCTCGGCTACCCATGCGAGGTAAACAAGGTCGTCATGAAAAGTATCCACTCACCACCTCGGTGTTTTAAACACCAAGGTGATAATTGAAAAGCTCATGGGTTCGATCCCTAGGATCTGCATATTTTTATTTTCTACATTTTGTTGCGCGCGTCATATGGTTGTTAGTTTTATTTACAATCCGAGGTAATAAGGTATTCATTTACTTCGGTTTTATGTAAAAATTGAGGGGTTTAAAATGAATCCTTTTGACTAAATTTATCAATTTCACTTGCATGTATCATTTTCACTGACCGACATCATATCAATATAATAAATATATTAGCTTGTCAGTATCGTTTTTTACACAAAAACTATAAAATATGTAACATAATTGGAATATATATATATATATATATATATATATATATATATATATATATATATATATATATATATATATATATATATATATATATATATATATATATATATATATATATATATATATATATATCATTTTAAACCAAATGTGCAAATTTACATTGTTATCATCAAGATAAAATACATTGTTTGACATGATCATATATGTATATCAAAATGACAAAACCTACGTTCATATGAAAAATAAGATTACCGCAACCAAGAAAACTATTGTTGTGGTTGTCGAGCTTCATAATGAGATAAGAAAACATTTCCCAAAACGTGATCGGATGTCATCAATATCTTCTATTAAGTATGGCGTTTGGATGCTAAGCTCCTACAATTAGAACAAAATTTAAACTATGATAAGTTAAAAACAACAACATTAGTTTAAGAAGTATATATATATATATATATATATATATATATATATATATATATATATATATATATATATATATATATATATATATATATATATATATATATATATATATATATGGTTTAAGCTAATACCTTCTTCTTCATCCATCCATGTGTAATACCTCCAAAGACAATATGAATCATATATCTCGTAACATAATATCCATAAGAATGGTCGTCGGTTTGTTTTCGCCACTACAATAATTTTCATTTATTAATGTCACACTAAAACACACAGATAATATAATATCATAAAGCATAATTGATATACTTGGGTAAATATAGACTGGCTTTTTACCCATAAGTTTTTTTTCGCGCATTAAATTCCTCCATCACTCTACACACGTCGGTTAAAATTAAACATGAATAAAACCTATTCAATTTTAAAGTGAAATTTGAATATAAAAAATAATATCACTTACCCACTCAAAGCGTTAACCACAACTTCGGGCAGTGTCGAGTGCATCGATCAAAACACAATTATATTATTTCTCTTGGAACAAAAAACAAGTAGTTGCCAATGTCCCTTGCATAAACATTCATAATAATTAATAATATGGATAAAAAAAAATTTATAAATGAAATCATAAATTAATATATACTTACTCGTAGTAAAATGGGGCAATCTAACAATCTTTGATGCTCGCTTTCTCTATCAACATCTCTTGTAAGTAATTTTTAATTTCGTTTCCTGGAGAACCGCGAGTTAGAGCAATCCTCGCAGCATCTAAGATTCAATACTTATTTAAAATCTTCATTTCAACACATACCTCATGGATGTACCTGCAAGGTCAAATATTTATGTTAAAGTACAATAACGTATGAATATAAATAGAAATCAACATAAAACTATACTTACGAGATCCAAATTTGCAATATTGAATAGTCTAGTTCCTCATCTCCCTTCAAAAATTCATGTGTAGCGGTCTTGTTAAGAAAGAACAATTGTTGTGGATCATGACTTAATTTAATACCCATAATTATGGTTTTAATACTCGACATCATCATCTCTAGTCTCTGAAGGCTATCTTGATTTGGTGGTGGTGAGGGTTCAACACTGCCTTGGTTGACACAAAAACCATGTGTCGCGCTTGTACCACTCCTAACTTTCTCAACTAAATTCTCTCAAATTTCCAACTCATTTGAATTTTTATTTGCTAAATATACCTAATGAACTCAATTTATGCATCATAAAAACAACATAAATACAATTCAAAATATAAATATGCAAACAATAATAACAACAACATACAACTTATACCTCAAGAACATCGCGGGTACACTCCTCAGACACCTTCTCATCATTCATCCTCTCTCGCTCCTCTTGCTCCTTCTGAACACTCTCCCGCACAGTATGCAACAACTTTTCCCTCTCCTTCTCCAAGAACTTCTCCTGCACCATCTTTAACAACCTCTCTCTCTCTTCCTCCAAGAACTTATCCCACATCATCTAGAACCAGCTCTCCCTCTCATCCTCCAAGAATTTCTCCTGCACCGTCTGCAACCAGATCCTCCTCTCGTCCTCTAAGAACATATCCCACTTCTCCTTCCACTTGTCCCTGGCCTTCCCTAACTCAACATCAACAATCTCTTCAACCTCTCTCTTACTAATTTTCTCTATAGATTATGTAGTGCATCCAAAATATACTTTGAAGCCAACGCCTCTACCAAGATATCACGATGACCTTGTGAAGTGAAGAGGCCGACCTTGGTTTATTCAACAAGAGCATCCTACAAAACATGAAATTTCATCTTTACCAAATTGATTTAAATAAAATAAATATTTTTGAAAAAAGTATCTACTTACAATCCTTTGAGCCACTTCGTACGTAACATCTGATGTGTACTCGCCGTCTTTTCTTTGGTGTTCCCTCTTCTATTTCTTGTGGCGTGATGGGGACGATGGACTACGATCAAGACTTGTAGAATCTCCCAGCTCTTCATCCCTTTTTTTCGTTGAAACCAAAATACCAAGATACAATTATGTGATGTTATGTAATGTGTAAATTGTATGTTCTTTTAATTGTTACATTTTGATTTTGAAGTAATATACAATTTAAGGTTCTTAAACCAATTTTTATTGTTATTTTGATACAATATTATTATTTTGATAACTATATCACAAATGCAAATTGTTTGTTCTGTTGTGATCGTTTATTCTGCTGTAATATGATCCACCAAAATACAGGTTAAAAAATGGGGAAAATTATGAAAACAGGATAAAATTGATTACTTTAGCTGAAAGTTTCGCAATGGTTAAATAACACAACTGTCGTAATATCTCGCATGCTGTTCAAAATAATATAAATATCAAAATGGCGCTGCTGAGAATCGAACCTAAGACCTTTATGTATATCACAACAGTCCGTTGACTCAACTGTTGTGATAAGACGTGCAGTTTCCCTTTTTCTACTACGGTCACTGGACCGTAATTGTAAGTAACACATATACAACCACACGCTACATAATAATGTCTAATCCCACATACTTATATATCTTTTCCATTCGTTATTGAATGTCATTTCCGTGTTAGTGTGTATTGGATCCTCTCAATAATCTTAATGAATTAGTGAAGCTACCGCTGCCGCCAACACTGACAGCTGAAAAATCTGAACATCAAAGGTATCTCTGTTGCCTAGTTTAAGCAATTTCATTGGAATCTGTAGGTAATGGAGCAATGTATATAGCCAGATTTGATTAAGTAGAACTTTGTTACATGTATACATCGGTATAACTCTAATGCATATATAATTCCAGTCTACTTAAACTGGGAAACGAATTTGTTTCAGATGATCTTGCCACAAATCTTCCTATGAGGTATATCACCAAATTGTGAATTCTTGCTAATGACCTTTGAATGAAACAGGTGGAAGCTCAATATTTTAATGACTATGCAGGAGTTTCTGCCAGCGGTGGTTTGA